CAGGAGGAAACCGTCAGTTCTCCTCCAGACTTCATCCCCATCATAGGGTGAGCCAGAAGGTGAGTGATGGATCCTCCCTGCGTTCAAGCCCACCAACACGCTTCCAAGACATGACGCTCAATCTGCTGCCACCAAAAACCTTCTTTCTTTTTCGTTTTTCCTTTTTATTTATTTATTCTTTTTTTTGGGGGGGGGGAGGGCAGTAGACAGCAGCTAGGTTAATACCACGATCAAAGAAATCTTTTTATGCTGGCAAGCGGGGGAGCAGCTTTAACTGATGCTTTATGCTGCCGTGCGTTATGCATAAGTTAGCGTTGGACATAAGTTCTGAACTCGTTATGAATTGAAAAAAATACATAGAAAGTTCAGCGCATGCCAGCGTTTTAGGAGATTCTGGGACGTCAGGCATAGGCTGGATAAATCGACATGGTGTGACAAGGCGCTCAGTAAATTAAGGAAAAGCTGATTCACTGAACCAGCTCACTTCCCCGATAGATTCAATAAGCTTCAAATGTTTGTAGAAATTACACGAATTTGATTTTATTTCGGTCTAAAATTGTTGGGTTTATTCAATCATGATTATAAAATTAATGTGTGCTTATGAAACATTTGTGCAAGGGGATGCTCCACTCCTGTCTCATGATTCAGTCAGGAGAAAATCCTGCCTTGTCATTCTGATGGAGCATTCTGTCTTCATGAAGTGATTAATTGTTCTGTCAGAACAATACTCTGTTTGTAACCATGCGTCATGTTCTGTTAATAAAATGCTCTGCAGAGGAGGTCCAGTGGGAGACAGTATGTTTGAGTCTGGGGTTCAACTGTCTCTCCTTCCTGCAGGAATAGTATCGATAAGTCTGTATTTCAGTTCTTCTTAAGAAAAAGCCTATTCATGAACCCGAAAAAAGTGTTAAACTGTCTCTGATGATGTGACCCGGAATGGCTCAGCTGGGTCCAACCAACATTCATTTATTGCTGTGGCCTCCAGGGAAGAGGAGGATCCGTTTAAGACATCAGACAGAGGGAAGCCAACAGGTTTACTCACACACTGAAATCCTCTTCCTCCAAATCATCCCCAGACTCAAAGCCAGCATCATACTCCATCTTGGGCTTGGGGCCTCCCACGTAGCTGCTTATGTCGGAGTCTCTGTAAAAAGAAGGGATGGTTTTTATGTCGTACAAGAAGCCATGCCGCATACGTTTTTCTCTGTGACGCCGCAACAAACTCAGTGGTGGTTTTTCCCTGCAGAGGACATATCTGGCAGTACGACAGGGTATTAGGGCCAGGCTAGACATTTTTTAATATGTGAAGAAAGTACTAAAATAATGAGAATAAAGTCATAACATTATCAGGGCCGGTTAAAGGAATTTGGGGGCCCCAAGCAAAATTCACTTGAAGGGTCATGCCCTCTTAAGATTATTCTGATAATGGTGTATTTGTACTTTTCCGCCATAACAATCACTTAATTCAAATGACCGCTCACCAATGTTCCCTCTAATTTTTCCTGTGTCTGAGAATACACACCCCCACACACCCGCTCCCACACCCACACACCTGTGATCATAGCGTGTTGCATGGGTTATTAAGAGATTACAGCAGCAATGTTCATTAGTTTACTTTTAATTTAGGTGATTTTCTCGACTTAAATGAAGTAAACAAAACAACTTGTTGTTCAAGAGACGTGTGTGTAAGAGTCCTCCTCTGGCCAGAGCAGGGATCCTGCTCTTCCTGTTCTTAAGCAAATGAGACGTTACACCTTTGAGGCATAACTTTTTGTTCACTTTAAAAGATTCACATTTTGCACACAGAAATGTGTGCTGAAAAAAAGCCATTACTAGGAAATGGCTGAAGGCAGACGCTCCTAAAAGGGAAGATTGGGTTGAAATAATACCTAATATTTATATTATGGAAAGGCTGACTTTGTCCATCAGATTTGAATCTGGAAAATTTTAAAATTATCGGGAAAATTGGCGAGGTTTTATTTCACCATGGAGATCAGACTTTGTTTGATAATAGTGTGGGTTTGGGTACCCTTATAGAGTTACAGACTGTAAATAGTTTGCTTACAGTTCAATACATGTATAGAATATATGCACAGATTCTGTTGGATGTTGTGTTTGGAAAGAAATAAAAAACAAAACTGTAAAATCGGTATGTATACTTGTATGGGAAAAATATTTTCAATAAGAAGTGCAAATAAAAAAAGAAAAAAAAAAGAAATGTGTGCTGAAGCTTTCAATACAGTATATAAATTCTTTTAAATCTTTAACTATGCTATTTTTTAGTGTACTATAACATTATATTCACGTAATGATTAATATACATAAATAAATAAAAATCTTATGAAATGTCAGTAGAATGTTATTTTTTAATTCAATCTTTTTTCACATCACAATCAGCACAGGATGCTGTAAATGTTAAAAAGCACAAATATCCAAAAACTGTGAGCTCTGCTTTGGCTCATCTAAGTGCTGCAGCCTCCTTATCTGAGAATGTGCTGATTGACTCCTGATTATGATTTTGCTTCATTATGTAAATCAATTTAGCTAAATTGAAACTGACATCTCAATTACAATGCAAATTGTAGTTAACAATAAAGAAATTGATTGATTGAATAAAAAAAAGAAAAAAAAATTTTCATGGCGAATAGTGCTGCCCCGTAAACGGGTGCATATTAAGGTGCTTGTTTGACAGCACGGCTGTTGCACACCTGTGAGTTTGATTGTTCTGGAAGCCTATTCTGCTAAATTAGTGCCGCCATATAATCTCTTTCCTGTGGGATTATTTTTATATGCACCTGCAGCGATCTTTGATGCGCTGAATAAGGACAATGCTGAACTTTTTATAAAGGACACCGACGTTCTATCAGAGATGGCAAAAGTACTCACTTTCCGTACTTGAGTA